GCCCCTTTAAGAGCAAAGGGTCAGATCTACTATAGTGCCGGCTGCCAGGCCTGCGTTTTAGCTGTGGGCCCCAGCAGGACAGGCTGACAGTAGCAGAGGCGCTGGCTCATGACTGCTGCATAGTAGTGACGTCAGTCCTTAATTTCTGCAGTTCTACACCCTGCAAGCTTGTCTTTAGTCTGATTTTTTTTCAGTGTGTAAGACACAAACACACTTGAGGTCTCATGGTTATCAATGCACACCTAGGTGAGGGTTACAATCCTGTTCTGACTGCAAAGGTCAGCTCTGTTATTTTCATCTGACAGACTGATTCTCCTTCAAGCTTAGATTCAGTCCCAGCTTGGTCTTACCTGCCAGGCAGGAGGGCAGGATGGGTTTTATTTTATTTTTTTTGCAATACCATCTGCAGCAGCCAGGGGGTGACAAATCATAGCTGCCCCAGTAATCATGTGTTTTTTGGAGTGATGGCCAAAGGAAGCTTCATGATCCACTTGCTGTATCTTCTGATCCAATTAGATGGTGCTCTCTCTTCAAAAGGAGGCTCAAAGCATGCCCCAAAGCAAGCCCCATCTACTGGGGTAAAAAAAAATACAGCCAATGGTTTGTGAAGTTTCATTTGACCATCACTAGTCATTGGCTAGGGCAGCACGGTGGCGCAGTGGTTAGCTGTGCCACTTGCAGTGAGGCTGCTGCCTCACAGCAAGAAGGTCCTTGGTTCAGTCACGGGTCCTTTCTGTGTGAAGTTTGCACGCTTTCCCTGTGCTTGCGTGGGTTTTGGCTGGGGGCTCCGGTTTCCTCCCACAGTCCAAAAGTGTGCAGGACAGGCTGATTGGTGAGTCTGAATTGGCCCTGTAGTTGTGGGTGAGTGTGAGTGCAGCTGGGTGAGTGTGTGTGTGCCCTGCAGTGTGCTGGCAACTGCCCAGGGTTGGTTCCCACCTGTGCCCGTTGTTCCCGGGATAGGCTCCGCTCCCCCGTTACCCCAGAGGGGATTAAGCAGTCACAATAATGGATGGATGGATAGTTATTGTCTAGAACTTGTTTCCTTAATGGTTTTGGTTTCTGTGATTGTTTAAATGGTTTCATAGATTGCTCAGAAAAAACGGGACCAAGAATAACTGCCTCACACATTATAGATTTCAGGTTCATGCAGCGATAGGTAACTATACGGCTTCAACTAACACTGTGTTGTGCTGTCTGACCTCATATAGAGGGAGAGTCTACATCAAGGTGTCCCTACACATCACTCTTTAGTGCAGAGGAATGGAAGAATTCCACTAAGGCACTGGGAGGGAGTGTCACATGGACTGGGAGCTGACAGGTGAGCCCCAGGCCTTCGGAAACTCTCACACCAAATGGGGATTTCAGCCTCAGTAACAGGAAACAGGCTCCCTGTGAGCTATGGGTGGGATTGAGGGCTCACAACTGGAAATGGGAAAAGCATGTAGAGATGGCTTCCTTCCATTGCAGCGCTCCCACCTGAAGCAAACACAGTCCCGGGAAAACAGTGCTGTGTAACTCCTGCTGGTCTTAGAAATGTTACTGTGATACGCTCCTTAATAGTACTGATGGATGCTGCATTCATCTGTGCATGGATGACTCTTAATTTTTTATTCTTTTTATTTCATTGTTCATCATTATTATTATTAGGTGACGTCAAGCCTGTGTTGACTAAGACGTCCTGTACGTTCATATCCTTCTCTTTTCACTTTCCGTTTCTGCACACAGAGGGCGACCTGGCTTTGGGTAGCTGGTTACGGATCTTTAATTCTACGACGGTGTAACGACAGAGGATCGAGATGCCCAAAATGTCATGGTTTAAAAAAACGCCCCCCCCCCCTCCCCAGAATTAAAGGGTCATATGTGCATCCATAAGCCATATTGAATGCTTTGGCTAAAAATGAAATTGTGTAATGGTTTGGGGAGACCCCCCGCAAATTTCCGACGCTGCTTTCTATACACACACGGTTTGTCTAGCTGCTCGATTTGGAACGATTTTATTATTCTAAGCAGCAGTTCTCTGTTTCGGCTGTCTGATTATCTCCGTTAAGCCCCATAAAACACGTCACTTCTATTCTGCGTGCGTTTTATGTCTCTTAGATGTTATACTAGCAATTACTATTTCCCGGTCGATTTACTAGCAAGATAACATCGACTGATCGAGCTGATGTGCACTATGGTTCGCGAGGAAAATTAATGAGCAAAAGCAAAAAAACCAAAGCATACACAAATAACACGCTGCCCGATCTCGTACGCTATTGTGTAAACATGTATGTTCGCACCTTAATATTTAATACAATTAAAGAGAGAATTACGTTCAGCGACAACAGATGCTTTATAAAAAAATACTCTGTCGATGTACGCTCCGTTTTTACTTTACTGTTACAGCAATACTTATGTTCGTGCCAAATACATAACTGCAAATCTGGTGACTTACTGGTTTAAAATTTAAACCAAGCACCGGTCCCTTACCTGTCTGGTGAATAAGATGGCAGTGTCCCAGTATTCGTGATGCTTATCATTGTTTTTATTCAACTTTTTCTGCCACGTGCAGAAATTGCGCAACGTCAGAGCGGCGTTAGTTGTAACTTTGGGTCCTTTGTCGGCTTCATTAATGACTATAAACTTGACGATCACGATGTTGATGGCGTTGAGGATGCTGGGGTGTTTGTACAGCTGGGCGGCCACGGACATCAGAGTCAGGACGTAATGTTTGAGATTGTCACCGTGGAATTCAGCCATGGACTCGTCCACAACGACTAGGGTCTCAACATATCTGGGTATGGAGGCAAATCGTTTCGATCTGCTCAGATTTTTAAAAACACCTTTCGTCAAGTTCCCGGCTTGATGTTCTTTTGCCATTTTATATTTCCCCAAAAACTTGAAGACATCTTTGCTTATAGGAGTGTCCACTGGACATCTGGTGGTAAAGTTGCTGCTTTGATGAGATTTTTCCCGCCGGCGTATCGTATGCGCCCTTCCTGGGCTTCCAGATAGTAGATCGGTGTCATTCTGCACTGGCCTGATGAAATATTCAAACCCCTGGAATCCGAAAGCGCCCTGCACGCCTTTGCACAAACTCACAGCCGCGTACGAGTCCGGCTCGGAATTGACATCACCCGAGTAAAAGCAGCGACTAAAATCAGGATTTACAGCGGCTTTGGATGCGGAAGTGTCGCTGTATAAGGACAGGGTAGATGCAATGAAACTGCTGTCTGGTAACAGATGAAGATTAAAATCTTGGTTGAACGCGGTTAATTTAATAGCAACCGGCTCCTCACTTGCTTCCTTCGCTTGGCTAAAGAAAATATGGTTTGCAGAATACTGGCGGTCCAGTCGAATTGGATAACAAATGTCACTTTCTAACGAAAGGATCACTTTGACCCATAAAAGGGCGTCCAAGATGACAAGCTTCCTAATAAAAATGAACATTTTGCGTCAGAGACTATGCAATTATACAACAAACCTTTCACGTAATATATATATAAATATTTATCTGATCGCTGGAGAGTGCCGGTAATAGTAATATGATCTGTGCATGCAATATTATTTATCCAGGTCACTACAGCCTACTGGAATGCAGCCGTCCCTTCGCTCAGTCTAAACACCTCCAGTAAGCTATCCGTTTCCATCTTGTACCTGTCTGTTAAAACGAGCCTCCGATTCTGCAGCTTTTATCCTTTTGCGTCATGTGTAAACACTGAAGATTTGTAATCACAGTTTTTGGGGAGGTGCTGAAAGAGCTCATTGGTCATCCCTCTAGGTTTATGTTTTGGCACCCGGCCAATATTATCACTTTGTAACAAGAGGAACAGGCTGCCCCCCCCCCCCCCCTCTCCATGGGGGTGTCCACTTTGAATTGCTTGTATGAAACAATCGACTTTATTTCCGAATAACATAAATCACAAAATATCAGATACAAGTAAATTTGTAATTATACCGTTGGATTTCTGAAGCCGTATAATCGTATTTTCATAACCTCATATACCTTTACTGATATTTGCATATCAAGGGATTCAACTTCTACTATTACACAACAGCCTAATTTCCAAGTATGTCCAACTTTAACGTCAAATTTAGGTAACCATTTAGGATATCTGACAATTGAATATTCTTGACGACACATAAGATAGGGCAGTGCAAATGTAACCAATTATACGTATATATGTTTCGTTTTATTCCGTTTTTTAAAACAAATTATTATTAGTAGTAGTAATAGTGGTGGTGGTGGTGGTGGTAGTAGTATTTAATTAGCAGTAAAAAGGGAAGATATTCAGTCGTATTAAAAACTAAAGGTAGATTTCCCACTTCCCGCTATACACTATAAACCTAAACGTCACTAGTAAATATTAAAAGAACATAAGTACAGTACAGTTTTAAACTGAAGATAAGCGTTCTCTTTGCATTCAAGCTCACAGTACAGAGTTGTGGTATTATGCTGGTTTTCATTGTAAAGTGCTTCCTTCCGTCATTGTTTGCATTCTGTACTGTGCACAGGTGTGCATGCGCACGTAATAATAGGACTACAATAGTGAAATTAACCGGTTGAGACATTACCTGATTACTTCATTTTCTAGCAAGAATAACCTGTCCTTATCCTGAAAAAGAAGCTACCCAAAACGAATAAGTCGATGTAGGCCTAAACCCACGAGTAAAAGTTTTGCTCATAGTTACACAGGTCATTGTCGCCCTCTTGTGCACAAATCACGCCATGTACTTTTGAGACCAGTTCGGGCTCATGTAATGTTATTTATATGGGCCTTTATATAGTTTTCACAAGTGAAAAAGTATAATATTTTGGTGCAGTACAATTTTTTTATATTAACAGAACAACCGTAAAGTCAATTACATGGGCTACAATAGCACGTGTTGTTTTGTTTAAAAACTCAATCATAGGTGTAGCATGTTAAAATTCAGAAGCACAATTGTAAAGCCTTATCGGAGTGGCCCTTTTAAAACTAAGCAAATATAGGTATTTATGCTAAAATGATCTGAATCAGCTTTATTGGCCAATTAAACAGGACAGACATACAGCAAAAAACGAGATTTCAAAAAGCAAACAATTAGATACAGTTTGTACAGAATAGACTTAAGCCAGAGGGCCATAGTGCAAAGATGATGCTCACTAAAGACACACAAGGTACAGTGGATGTTTGGTGATAGCAGATACTGCAAAGTGTCCTTCACACTTAAGTGTCCATCAGAGTGACGGCCTGTGGAAAGGAAGGGTTCATATGCCTGGTTGTTTTGGCGTACAGTGCGCTGAAGCGCCTGCCAGAGGGGTTTAAAGACGTTGTAACCCGGGTGTGATGGGTCTGCAGTGATTCTGCCTGCCCGCTTCCTGACTCTGCACATGTATAAGTCCTGAATGGAGGGCAGGTCCACACCAATTTATTTATGAGAGACAGCACAGGGCATTAGTCTGGGATAAACCCTAGGTGGGATGCATCGCAGGACATACACACTTACATACTTTTTAAAATGTCATTTAGTCCAGTGGTTCTCAATTAGTTTAACCTCAGGATCCACATTATTCCTTGCTTAGTATGTCACGACCAAAATTCAGTTCCGCCAGCGGAGAAACACTGATTTAGACTAACGCCCTGCCTTTGGACGGAAGGAGGAAACGGTAATAAAATATTAGCACCTAGTGGCAAGCGGAATCTAATCCAACGTTCTGGTTTCCGATTTTCAACTAGAATGTTTTGGCTTTAAGACACGAGTTTAAGAGGCAATTTCTCTGTTCTTGTACCAGTCATCTTTAATAGTTGACTGACAAGTTGTATTTGTAAAAGCTGAGCAAAGCTGCAATGGTAAGGGCTAAATCAAAACTCAAAAGATTCAACAAAACCGAACCATAAATGTTAAATCTACTCCGGTTCACTTTTTCACAACATAACTTTTTTGTGTATATTTTGTAAATATATGGAAGTCTAACTTATATGGATAAATAGACTGGGCTATCCCATAATAAGAACATAAGAAATTTACAAACGAGAGGGGGCCATTCGGCCCATCAAGCTCGTTTTGAGAGAAGTTAACTAATAGCTCAGAGTTGTTAAAATCTTATCTAGCTCTGATTTAAAGGAACACAGGGTTTTAGCTTCCGCTACACTAGCAGGAAGACTATTCCATACTCTAACTACACGCTGTGTAAAGTGCTTCCTCAAATTTGTTTTATGGCCACGAGTTCTAGTATTTAAACTAATACAATTATTACATAATTGTGACATATGTGTACTATTCTGTAATCAAAAGAAGATACAGATAAACTATATCAACTAATACGTATAATTATATTATGCAGGCCTATGTCAGAACCCTTCTGTATGACATCAGGAGCTGACTGAATTTGTCATTATGTAATAGTATAGACCTGTTGCGTTTGTGGTGCAAGGTTTAAACTGAGATATCACTGCTTATATTTATAAAAAGCCAGGCTTTGCAGTTCCAACTATGAAAATGTGTATTGCCGTAAATGTGATTACTGTAATGAGACGAAAGCAACAAAATGTTTTTTTTTTCTTTCAAATAATCACTTGCATGCGGTTTTTAGGCTACAGACTCTAGCAGTAAACGTGGGTTAAATTTATAGGCCTGCCTATTTGTAAACTTACTTAGGACGTTAGCTCAGAGTCACAAAATAAAAATTCAGGAAAAAATGTAAAATGAATATTTTAATTATTATAATTATTTTTTCAAGGTTTTTCGTCCATGGTTTAATCAGTATGTAACCATTTTGTCACGGACTATTAATATGAATCCTAAGCAATTTTGTCACATAAACAGTCTTTGTCCAAAATAAGTGTCAGCGATAATATTTTAAATATGCACTTCAGTTTTATTTGATTCATAGATAACGCACTTACCGTTGAGATTACTTGATAATTTGACATCGCATTACCGAAGATATCGTGCTTAGCATCAGTGGGATATGATATTTTAAATTCTTTATTCAGCATCGATGGCTGACATGCTACAGTCAAGTATTTCTATGCAGGACTTATCCTTTAAAAAGGTTGTTTCGGCCTAATGAAAATTAAAGAACAGGCCCATATTTTTGTCGCCGACGTGTAGCCCAATATGTGTTTATGCAATAAGAGAATGGAAAATCCTTGGCTTGTGTGTGATGCAGTCGTGCGGTGCTGAAGGAATAGGCCAGCGGACTGCTGGCTATGTGTACTGCGGGCAATTCGCAGCGCAAAAGCAGGCGCTGCGCACTGGCGTAATAATAGCTGTCTGCTAGTCAAAGCGGTGCTATTTAAGAAGGGGGGAGTGTCCGCCAGCCCTCATTGGATCGCTGTGATTCAGGGGTTTCTAGTGAAGTTCGAGAGGGTGGAGAGAGCGATACGGCGAACGATATCAAAAATAAACCTCTTTAGTCTAAGAAGGGCAAGAAGGTATAAATACCACCGTTACTAGTAACCTCCGCTGGTGCCGCGGAGTAGATAGTTCAGGGTTTAGATCTTTCACCACTAGTATGCAGGGCTAACTGTAACAATAATGTTAGAAAATTCTAGACCAAGACTGGTTTTACAGTACTGATGTTAGAATGATTTAGAACAACCTCCGCAGGATTGGTTTTCTATATGTTTAATTCCTTCTATTCGAGAATCGTTACAATCGAGTTATTGTAGCTCTTATATTAAGTGAATAGCAGTTTAATATATACTTATGTATATGTGTGTAACCATTACTGGAATCAGGAGATATTTATTTAGCGCTTAAAATAGAAAGTGAATAGAAGAGAAAGCGTTTTCCATTTATTAATTTTCAAACACTGATTGTGTAAGATGCGTTCAAGATACATTATACTTTTATTAGTTCTCTATGTTACAAACTTCGCACTTTCTGAGCTGTATGAATCGGAAGAAGTTCTACCTGTTAAGTTAAAACGGAGAAGCGGCG